ATGAAGTTGAACTGAAGTAAGTTTAAATAATAGTATAAGTATCAGCATAGAAGTATATAAAAACAAGTATATTTGTCCAGAAATATTTTAAATTTACAAACATTGATAACTAATGTCCAATCCAACCAGTAAAAGGAAATACATCAGCATTTTAACGACAATATTGAAAACTAAACATAGATAAACTTCAAATTTCATTCTACTAACATACAAGCAAGCAATTCACACACCTAACGTCCAAAATCAACATCGAACAATCCAATCTACACAAACAACGAACACAACACACTACAAACAGTCACAACTCAAGAACAAACTAATGCATATGTACCTTGCATTGCCTCCCAAGAAGTGTTTGGTTTAACGTCGTCAACACGACGAATAAGGATTCCTCCCAGATCAAAATTTCGTTTTAGTAATCACCGATCAATCACCAAATCTTTTGCTGATCTAGGAATTTCTAATAGGAATTTCTAATAAATCTTAAAATTTTATTTTTTCTTACAACTTATCCTTCTCAGCTCTATAATAATCATCTTGACGGCATGTAGAGGATCGATTCAGATTATTGTTCCTAATGCTTCTTTCTAAATCCAATATTCTCCCAATGATTTTCTCTATATTAATATTCCCCTTATAAGTCATTAGAAATGGATCCCTATAAGATAGTTTAAGGTTTCCTAATTTTTAGGTCAGGTTCTCCCTATGTTATTTAGATTTTGGATCAAATTCTATTGGGTTGCTTAATTTCTTGAATACTTCTATAGATCTTGAGAATTGTTGGTCTATTTTTTTTTTAGAGTCTCTCAGGGAATGGTAGAGGTGATCTTTCTATGTTAATCTTAATTGAAGAGACTTGTTTTTCAAAATCCTTAGAAACATATTCTTCAGATGTTTTAGTTTTCACGGTCTCTTTTTCAACCTCAGTTACTTTTTGAACTACATCCTTCATCTCTCTTCCATTTCTTAGTAGTACCACTTTAACTTGCTCATTATTCTTTTCTTTAGGGTTTATCTCCGTGTTGCTAAAGAGTTCCTTAGGGACGATTGTTAAGTGAGTTAGTAATTTGTCCCAACCGATTTTCTATATTCCTTATTCTAGCCTCTTGGCTTTGCAGTCGACTTCCCATTTGAATAACAATCTCTTCTATAAACAATTTCTTCTCCTTATACTGTGAGTTGGAGTTAAATCCCAGAGGAAAAGAAGGTGCAAAGTTAGAATTACCCTGATTATTCCAATTACCTATAGGCTTAACTTGATTATTTCCCCACGATGAGTTTCATCTTCCAGAGTTGTTGTTTTAGTTAAAGTTTGAATGATTCTCCCATCCTGAGTTGTAATAATTGAAATAAGGGTTATTTGGTGGATTGTTTATCACATGGATAGTTTCAAAAGGGTTAGTGTCAACCAACTGTCCAAATAAGTTATTTTTTGGTTGTCATTTCATAAAGGAGATGATGATGATAATATAATCCAACTCCTTTACACGGAAATCTTTAAAATTGGTAAATAATTGACTTTTTTTTTGTGTTTGTTTAAATGTATTAAATATCCAAATTCAAATATTCAAATCATGTCCTATCATTTTTCTTTTTAATTCATTTATGTTTATGAAAGTGTTTATTTATTATCCATAGGAAACTGTCAATTTGCTACCCCTTTTTTATATTTGTACTTGTAGTTTAGAGTTGATATAGACTTATATTGATTAAATATTTTACTTTTTTCTTTATTTGGTTATTCTTCTATCCAATCTTGATCTATAGTTCTGAATCCCACTTGCCTCTCACAAAATGTTATTTTGCTCTTATCACGACCACGGTTGTTCAAAATAAATAAAACTCAAAATGACTTGAAAATATTTAAAAATTTGACTCAAATCACTGAGTTCTAACTCCATTGTGTCTTCAAAGTCCATTTTGAGTCGATTTCGAATTTGATGACTAGCTTGAATATTGATTATAAAATGTGACTCAAAACACTCACACAAATATATTGCATTCACTATATCCATTTATATAAAATATAAGTAAATATATAGTTTTAAATCTAATTAAGTATAATAATTAATTTTGTGTCAACTCGATTATTTTGGGTCTACTTGAAATCAATTTTTAGTCAGCTCGAAATCAAATGTTTTCGAGCGCAGTAGTTGGCTCAATGTAGAATAAGTTTTTCCTAGAGTTGTGTTTGAGTCAAGAAACAATTAAAATCATTCAAGTCACTGGTGCCATCAAAATGATACGCCACCATCTATCCTCTTATTAAGGTTTGCTAGCTAGGGCTACCTATCAATCACCAAACTTATGTCTCTCTTTCTCTGTCATTGGAACAATTAGCTGATACCGGAGTTAAATGCAAACCACAATAGGGAAATAAAATATTATTACTTGAAAGCAAATAGACGGTTACGACCAACACACTTGAAAGAGAAAACAACAACAAACATGACATGAGACACACTTAAATAGAACACAATTCATGACACATGGGTAGGGTGAACTCTGGGGTTGTGGTGGCCATCGACAAGGGTTTGTAAGGTGGCGGAATGTTAGACATGGTGGTTGGAAAGCAGAAAACAACAAGACAATGGTTTTCTAGTTTTCGAACAAGTACGCAACAGATATCGACGTGCCACGACTATTTAGGATGATGACCGGGGGGTTGGGGGGGGGTTTGGGAGCGAGGAGAATGGCTGGACAACAAAAACAACAAAATACTACTTTTGAGGTGGCCTGCAGTGAGGAGTGTGGGGCAGCTAATCGGGAGGGATGCGGGGGAATTGGGGATGGATAAATACCACCTGGAGGCCAAGATATAATTGAAGCACCACCTAGAATTCTAAAATACAAGTATTGATGGAAAAAAGAGGTATTGACATTTGTTCCGATACAGAAGACACGAAAAATTAACCCTAGACTTTTATGAAAAGAAATATATAATAATAGAATCACTAGGAGTTGCCCAAGAGGACTGGCTGACTCCTCAAACTTGGACAGGTTCTGTCCAGAAATAGGAGCCTGGTCACAGTTTCATTCTGGGAATCGAGGCTTTGTTCACGTCAGGAGTAGGGGGCACTGCCATGTCACTAGCATCTGGGGTAGGTTTTGGTCCCACAAACAACATGTAGAGTGTTGTGCCCATCAAATTGGCAACCTTCCTCAACCAATGGATTCCTCTTATCATGTTTAATAATAATTTTTAGATTGATAAACACAAAAATTAATTATGATTATAATAAATACATCAATTTTCAAAGATTGAAACACACATTTTAACAAGATTGAAGTACAATATTTTTTTGCCCATTTTTTTTATTAATAACTTTATGCCTCAAATTAGCCTAAGGCTAATATGTTGCTTTACAGATAAAAATACCTTAATGCTCAATTATGCACATTTAAATTTTGATCAGTAGTCACTAAGGGTCTGTTTGGGGTAGCTGCAGCTGTTTGCAGAAGCAACTGTGAGCTGCTGCAGAAGAAAGTGTTTTTCCAAAAACTGCACTAGCTATTACAAATTTATTTTATTTTCAAAAAGTCAGACCGCAACTTTTCTGCCATCATCCTGGATAGTCGTGGCAGCGAGTAGAATGGCTGGACAATGAATAAACTGCATGAAAAACAACAAAAGACTTCTGCCCAGGCGCCTGCAGTGAAGAGTGTGGGGCAGCTAATCGGGAGGGATGCAAAAGAGTTGGGGATGGATAAATAGCACATGGAGACCAAGATACAACCGATGCACTACCTAGAACTCTAGGATACAACCCATGATAAGAAAAAGAGATATCGACATCTATTCTGATACATCTTAGACTTCTATGTAAACAAATATATAATAATATTATAACTAGGAGTGGCCCAAGAGAACCAACCAACTCCTCAAACTTAGACAGGTTCGTTCCAGGAATAGGAGCCTGGTCGCCATTTCATTCTTGGAATCAGGGCTTTGTTCGTGTCGGGAGTAGGGGGCACTCTCATGTCACTAGCATCTAGGGTAGGTTTTGGTCCCACCCAATCATGTTGCAATCAACATGAAGAGTGTTGTGCCCATCAAATTGGCAACCTTCCTCAACCAATGGAATCCTCTTATCATGTTCAATAATAATTTTTAGATTGATAAGCAAAAAAAATTAATAATGATTATAATAAATACAACAATTTTCAAAGATTGAAGCACACATTTTAACTGGATAATTCACCTTCATTTTTTTTTCTATCCTCTTCTATGGTTGCTTCCATCTTCCTTGAAACTCTGGTTCTTAGGAAACTTCAATTATGCTTTTAGATGGAGAGTCCAACAAATTAGTTAACTTACTAATCTCGGTAATTTCATTTACTTGGTAATGAAATCTCATAAGAAGGCCATTAACCAAACATCATGAAATAATAGAGGGAAGAGGCATCCTGGGAGATGAGAGGAGAGAATGGTCATGACTACTAATTGTGATTTCAGAAAAGATTAAAGTTCACAGATATCTATGATTTTATTCATATAACCAGTGGGGTCACATGGAGGGATCCAATACTTACATGGTTCAAACTTACTGATTTGTGTTCCTTGTTATTTATGTTTTTTAGATGAAAAATTACACAATGTTTTTGAATTGTCCTGGAGATTATTTAATAAACATCCTATTAGTCATCTCATCATCAACCCAAAAAGTGAGGAACTATCTAGTTGAATAGCCGGAAGAGATCAAAGAAAATTTTACACAAAGATCTACTCAGTACTTGAAATCAACAAAATTTTCATCAAATACTTTTAAGGAACATGAGAAACAAATTTAATTAGCATGTTTGGTAATTAATAATTTTCTTGAAGCGTATTTACAATGGAATAATTGAGCATATTGGCTGAGCATGGCTTCTGCTTGTACCCTTGTACTGGAGGATAATCGTCCTGCCCTAGATGAGTGCGCAAGTTTGCTACAATTTCCATTTCAGTTTTTTTTCATAATTTTTGAGTTGAAGTTCTCACTTGTGTTTCTGTGTTTCAGCTTCCAAGGCAAGAAGAGCTAAAAACTGTTCTTGATAAAGTGAAAGATTTCATTGGTGAAACTACAAGTGGTGCAAAGGAATCCTTCGGCAAGCTTACTTCCTTGGGTTCTATGACAATTGATGATCCAGAATCAACTACGAAGTAAGTTCTTTTACATGAATTTTGGCGTTATCTCCTCTTTGCTAGCTTTTGATCTGATATAAAAATAATTCAAACGCATCTTAAACATTGTCTGTTACTGGTTAGAGTGATAGGTTGGATCTTCAAATTATTTTTTGTTAGATTAGGTTGATGATGTAAAAGATCAACAGCATTTAATGTGCCTTTTACAGACTAACCATTACAGGAAATATATATATATATATATATATCAAATAATTGCCTCAAGATTGGTGTTAGGTGATGAAAATTTTGTTGGTGCTGTGTCATATATATATATATATATATATATATTTCAAAATTCATTGGTAAAAAAAAGAGATGATAGAAAAGTTTTAGTGAGTGGGTACAAAGAGTCCACTCACAGGAATTACAAACGTATTCCCCAAAAAATAACACAACAAGAAACAACTTCTAATCATGGTGGGTGTAATCGGTGGGTAAACCGCTTATCTTTCCCTTGGATCTAGGGAGGGAGTCCAGTAACATACTGAGATGTGGGCTTCCACTCGAAACAATGATACAGTCATCCTGAGAATTACTGAGATCTGACATTTCTTTCTTCTTCTTCCTAGATTTTTAAATCTGTTAATCATCTGCCAGAGGTAGTCCCGTGTGAACAATAGGTAGATCTTTGATGGAGGTAAACTGCTGATCTGACTCAGCCTGCAGCACACCTTGATCATGACACTCCTCCATAACTTGAGAGTATCCTCTTCTCTCGCAATAGGTGGTTCCAAAACACTTTGACTAGCATCTGCTACAACAAAATTCGTAGAATTTGCAATCTGAGGAAGAGCTGCTTCAACAACAGTAGGCGGAAGTTGTTGGTCTGGTTGGTGAGGAGTAGTCTTATGAATCAAATTCTCATTCAACATTTCTAAAAGATTCACAGTGTCTGACATATTTTCCTCCACATGGATCTCAAATGTGGGTGAAGCCTGAAGCATTTGACAGTGGTGTGCCTAAACAGTTTACAGTAATTGCAGTAGTAGGGCTTTTGTTCTGCTATAATTGACTGTCAATACCTATTGTGGGCAGTACCAAACCATATTTCGTCCACATCAGAGAGGGTGATATCCCTTTCAACAAGAATTCTTGCAACTGAAGGTCTGGTTGGATTGAAGCTAGGTGCATCCAATTTCATAGGTCTTCCTAGTGCAGCTCCAATAGAGTAGAGGACTTGGTGGTTGAAGTAGTGCAACTTTAGGCCAGGTAGTTTAAACCAGATTGGAACTATACGTGGTTCTTGTCTAGGGTCAAATTCGGGAGAACATTTAAGCAGTTTCATATATTTTCCCTCTATTGTCATAAACTTTTTGGAAAATATTTTGGTGTAGTCTTCCACTTTAGATAATTGTATCATCACATGTTTCCCATCAAAGAGGTCAACCTTCCAAAGTCTCAATAGTTTGAGATCAAAAGCCTTCCGAACGATATCTATTTTAGGATGCTCCGATTGGAACTTCCCAATGAGGGTGAATTTGCATTTGTCAACCAGGTTTGAAACTTTAACATCAGAGAAGAATAGAGTTAGTTTGCCACTCTTCCTACATGTCTTCTTGAAAACCTGATCCATTGATCCCACAGAGCCAACCATATCAACATAAGAAGCCTTCCCAAGATTTAAAACTGAAGCAGTCAGTGGTTGAGGAGGAACAAAAGCCATAGGGCTGAGAGTCGAACAATGGGTAGCTCCTGGGATTGAGTCTTGACTTCAACCGGAGCTCTTTGCTGCTCGATCCGCAGAGCAGGGATCAAGCGGCACGTCACAGGAAGGATCGCGGCACTGTGCGTCCGCCGCTACCTTCCCAATGAGCTCGTGAGACGATCCATAAAATGACGCGATCGAGCGAACGATACCGAAGAGCGAAACGAAGCGAACGACCGAGAGGCTGGGGCACGGTGACGTGATCCCCCACCCTTCTTCGAGTAGGAGTCTACAAATCGCTACGGCTACCCGCATCGCCATGGAATCGCGACGGGAGGAGTAAACCCTAGTAGAGCGCACGATGCATCATATATATAATAATAATAATAATAATAATAATAATAATAATAATAATAATAATAATAAACAAAACCGGTATTATTTTGGTAGTCTTATATTAGTAATTTGATTGTTATCCTCTTGAAACTCAAGTAAACAAGGTTTAAATTTACGTAATTGTGTTTTAACGCGTTTTTCATCCATGAGGCACGACATAAGTCTTGAAACATTTGAGTTATAAGCCTAAAGTTCAAAAAAATTATAACAATGAGTAATTGTTCTAGAAACATCAAAGTTTGAAGTAAAAATAACATATTAACACATTAGAAAGAAACAAATCAATATTTTAACAGAGTTATGCAAACTATAATACAACATGTTAACATTCTAATATCAAATCAAGAAAAAAGATGAGTTATATAACATCATAATATCTATGTAAATTAATATATTATAGTATAATATTAAATATCATAACAACATATCTCAACGAAGACCTCCTCCATCCAATAATTGCATAGCCAATTATTAATTTGCCCAAACACATGGCTATGATGCCAAATCTTTTTGACAATGCCTGCCTCATCTATCGACTAAGTCAACAAGACACCGCTGAGTTATTTGACGAGCCTTCCGACCCATCATATCCATTTTGGTTAGATTTTCTCTTATTGAGCCCATTTTAGTTGGCCTAATGCTTTAAGATCTAATCCAGGTGAGCTCAGCGGATCTTCTTCTCATAAGGAAGTGCTTAAATTCATTCCAAGACGCCCCTGCCGAAAAATCACAAGAAAAAAATCTAAATTTTTTTTTAAGTCTTAAAACAAAAGTTTCTTATTACGGTGTTACCCTAATCCATCGTTCCATAACCTCCCAACTAACCAATCTCTTTGCAAAGATTATTTCATATTCCATGTTGTGTCCACATCACTCGATAACAATGTTGCCACTACATCCTATCGTAGGTGCTGGCCTTTTCTGGCGACCATAAAGGAAAAGAGAACTCAAATGAACTACTATGAGAGTCAATTTCCAAAAGTTAAGAAAGTTATCATTTAATTCATAAGTATTATATTTTGCAAAATGGTTGTGCATGAGCTTTTGGTTGGACAACTCGCCATCATAATAGAAACAAAAGAGTACATAGGCTACAAAACCTAAAAGTTGTTTGTGCTCTCACTACCCTTTTCTCGCTCATCATCTATTAATATTTTAGATTCCTTCCCTTTGCTTATGCATGTCAAATAGTCCAAGGCCACGAAGACAACATTAGGAAGAAGTTAACATCTCAAGATGGAGGCCTTCAAAATGTTAAACCCGTCCTATCCCAAATGCTAGTCATCGTCCAACCGGTTTTATAGATTGACTCTTCGACTTAGTAAACCATTAATGGAGCTCCTAAATCTCCTCACCAACTCGAGTAATGGCTGTTTAAGTATTGTGATGTTCCTACTCCAAGTTTTGTTGGAGCTTGGCAACCTCCTTGTGCTATTGCAGTACTATGTTGTGTGGATTTCTCAAAGCTCACTCTCTAAATGAGTGAACATGATGTATCCATACTCTTGTCGCCTTTTGTTCCAACAAGCAGCTTTGCTTCATTTGCTTTCTCCCTCATGGCAAAGTTGATAGATTTGAAGGGTTGTTAAATCTCCTCCATGAAAAGATTACCAACAAGTTGGTTTGTAGATAGGTTTAGGTTTTCACTGGTCAGTTGTTAGGTTTGCAAATTGTGTTGGCTGTTATTCTTTGGATGCAATAGTCATTTTGAATGTGAAATGGCCCCTTAAATTATTTCTTGAAGCAAAAGAGCATATGGTTTTGATGATCATGTCGACTACGTAGTTACCCTTTGCTAATTAGGAGAATGTACTTACAAGCATTTCTATTGGTTCGCCCAAGTACCAGGTGAATTTCTACCTTACCTAATATCATTGTGATTTTCTTGGCCTCTTTTGCACATGTTGAGGTCACCCTCTCCTCTAGTAGAGGAGCTCCTTTATCGTCATGGATTTCAAAAGACATTCATATTGAAAGTGTGAGAACTATGACACCTAAGGGCCGACGTAGTAGAGCGGTGAATAAAAATAAATGATTCAGATTTAAGTGTAACTATTTATAGCAATGTTTTAAAAGATAAAATTTTTTTTTTTTTTTTTTTTTTTTTTTTGCGAGGCGGGGAGCAAGCCCTGAGGCGTATGCCTTAAAATAAAATTTAAAACTAATAAAAGTAAACATAATTTATAAATATGACATATGACAAACCAACACTGTCATTACCGAGTCTCAAGTTCTGGATGCTAAAGTAGAGAGTTGCATCAGGTAGTCGACAACTAACATAAAATTTTTGGTCGAAAAACTATGAAATAAATCCTTTAAATCATTGTGTCAATGTTAAGGTATCCTTTGAAATCGACACGTTGTATAACCCAAATACAATAAAAAGTGTGTAAAGGTTGGTTTTAAATAAATAAGAGTTCGCACATTATGGATAGTTATGGGCAATAAATTAGTTCATGAAACTAATATTATAATATGAACTTGAAATATAAGTATTTTCACAAGTAAATTAATAGAGATAAATATCTTATGCATTCAAGAAAGTAAATGGGTTGGAGAAAAGATTAACAAGATTTATAGTTTAGGTTTTGAACTTTAATATTAGGTAGGATTCATATTAAAATAGTGTAGTTGTGATTATATATAAGAGTTTGAAAGATAATATTTTAAAAATTAATAGAATTGGAGATAGAATTATAATACTAAAAATTATTGTTAATACTAAGATTCTTAACGTTAAAGTATTTATGCTCCCAAAGTGGGTTTAAATATATGTTAAAAAAAATTATAATGACCTGGAAGAATTTAATACAAATGATCTCTCTTGACAAAAGATTTTTTAATGGAGGAGGTTTAAATGGACATATTGGTAGAGTGGTAGAAAATTTTAGAACTATTCATAGTGATTATGATTTTGGAGTGATTTATAAAGAAG